CTTAAGAACCTTTGGAGAATGCTTATAGTTCATTCTGGCAGTTTGAAGTAATTTGTGCCAGCCACTGATTTTTGGACTAATTTTGCTCTCCAACATTTAATATCTGTTGTATTTTGAGCATAAAGGTAAATTTTTCAGATATCCTGGACCTATAAGCTTATAAATCATTTGGCAGAAATAATTAGGGGAGCCATATGCTTCCTACTTATTTGTACACTTGAGTAAAAATGGTCTCTGCCTTTATCTTTTTTGCCTAATTATTTAAAGTAAATAGAAAATAAGTGCTCTCAGATTACCCACCAAATAAAAGAATTGTGTTTGTTGAGTATGACATTGATACGTGAAATATACAAGATTGTTATTGTACTCTGTTCATCTCATTGTAAACTTAGATCATCCTGGACAACACTCTCAGAGGTGAGAGCTGAAGAATTCATGAAGCATGATAAATCAAGGATTCAAATATGATTTAAACATACATACACACGGGAAAGATATGTAACTTTTAGTTAACTAGATGCATTTGTGAGTGGAATGAGAGTGGTCCATGCCATTCATAGAATATTTGTATACTGTAGACTTGAACAGTACTGGCTTTGTAACCAGCCTTGAGTTCTGTCCACTTACCACCAATGTGACTATGGACAAAATATTTAGGCAGGATAAATTATACACAGACATACACACACACACACTTGTACACACAGAATTCAACCTCTTTCCTTGGAAGAAGCCACATTAAAGGGATAATTTTAAAATAATTCCTAAGATCATGAACTGCAATTAAGAAAGAGAAACCTCCAATTCAAAACCAAAGGATGTAGAAATGCAAGCCTGGTCTGGCCATTGTGACTTTATCCTATGGGATGTCGTTCAGTGAAGAATGGAAACCTGAATTTAATAGCTTTGGCTCACATGACCTAAAAATTTTTCTGTAACCACTTTTCTCTAATCCTTCCATTTGACAATGACAAACTAAGTCATATCATTTAACCTTTTCTCTTGCATGTTGCGTGACCTTGTGAGCAGAGTAAGAAACAGGACATTCCTCGGGAAGATCAGGGACCGACCACCAAGAATTTGGATTTTTGGCCCCAACTTATTACACTGATGGTCACTATTATTGATGAGGATAAAACTGCCTATACACCTGTCCTGAATCAGTAAGTACATTGTCTTGGAAATGAATGGGTTTTATTCCACTAAAGTTGCGAAAACATAAAATACTTGAAGCATGGTTTATACTCTATTGGAAAAGTGTTTTTTTCCAAAATTAAGTTATATAAAGCAGGACTTTTGTACTTTTAGCAGTAATATTAATTTGGTGATATTATGAATTTTTAGTTCATGCCCCATAGAGTGAGATTCTTTGGATATAGAGACAAATATTTCCCCGAATTTATTTTTGTTTGATGTAGAAAAGTTTCTTTGGTTCCTTTCATAATTATCTCCTTGTCTCAAAAAGAACAAGAACAACAACAAAACCCCACAAAACTATCCCATTGCACTTCCCCCAAAACTAAAAAGAATGTTGTAAGTTAGTATTAAACATATTTCATTGTGACATTGTAATAATAAAGATTTGTCGAAAGAAAACCTGCTTTCAAAATAGTTCTATACCATGGATTTATTGCAATATGTAATAGAATAAGTCCATTTTCTCAAGTAACAATGTTAAGCCTATGCCCCCATGCATAGAATTTGTAAATTATGAGGAGATAGATGAACAGATCAATTGAAATTCATGGCTATTCTAGAATAACAGATTCTAGAAGAGTCTAAAATTATTAATTTATCAAAATGCCACTTGCTATGAGAACTTGGGCAAATTATCTAATTACCCTGGGTCTCAGTTTCCTCATATATTACTAGATAATATCCAATATCCAGTCCAGCTTTAGTGTTGCATGTTTAGGATTTATTTTATGCCTACATGTTGACGGCTATATAGCAAAAGCAAAATAACAGCTGAGTCTGTGAATCAAGCACTTGTAATGTGATTAATGGAGAGGGTATCCTGACATATTGGTAATACCTGAAATGCTCTGGGCAGCAGGCATAGCAGAAATAGACAAACTATGAAGTAGAGCAAGAAGTAGATTCAGACTTACTATAGAGAACTGGTTTTATTATTTCTCTATAATGGCCAAGACAGGGTCAAAAAGCTTTTGTTGAATCCAACTGAAATTTTATTTACAGAAGGAATAAATTTTTAAGTGTCCCAATTTTCATCCTTTCCTTGTTTTTTAACCACTGATTTTCATCTGCCCTCAGTACCTAATTGTGGAGAAATTGGTCCTCTTTGATAAGCAACCATGATAGCGTCATTAGGTTTGCCTTTATACTTTCTTCTCACTTTCCCCGTTATACTCACCTTTTCTGCCTGAAGACCAGAGTACCTCCTGATGACCCTCTATAGAGACACTGCTGTATTATTGTCTTCTGATAGCATAGGACCATATCTTCTCTTCAATTTTTTTTTTATTATTTTTAAACTATTTATGTATGTATGTATGTAGGGGGGGAGAGACAGAGAGCATGAGCAGGGGGAGGGGCAGTAGGAGAGGGAGAGAGAATCTCAGGCAGAGTCTATGCTGAGCATGCAAAGCCCCACACGCGGCTCAATCCCATGACCCTGAGATCACAGCCTGAGCTGAAATCAAGACTGACTGAGCCCCCCAGGTGCCTTTCTCTTTTAATATACCACAGGTCCTTGGCTCATCCTGGGCAGCTTGATGGAACAGATCTGTTTTCTCCTTCATTCTTCAGACCTTCTTTGAGACAGAGTAGATTTCCTGAAGAGAGATAGGGAAATCAATACTTGTTTTGTGTCCTTGAGCTGGTATAGGCCATTTGGTAAATGACTGTTGAATGAAAGCGGACATCTCCTCAGAAATGCTAATTAAAAGTTATATGAAAAGATTTTACTTCTAATCAAAGAAATTCTTTACATTTACCAAATACTAGAAATCTAGTAATGACTAGTAAAAGATATATCCTAAAATCATGGAATCAATTAAAGTTTCCCAGAATTATTTTTAATCATATACACTGTGAAACATATACAAATATTTTATTTGACTTTTTGGAACTATATTAAGAGAAATGGAGGAAATACATTTAGTTACGGCAAAAATAAAATCTAAATTATGACCTAAATTAAGTGTACTAAATATAAAATGGAGCAATGAGACAAGGAAAGGATGTCTTTGTTTTGCTTTTTATTTTTGTTTTTAATGTCAGAGTTTAGAGTCACTTTTTTTTTCTATGAGAACCTAGCCCTAAAAAAACTTGAATGCCTTCCTGATATTTGGAACCTATGTTTTATGATTGTATTTGCTCAGATTTTGAGGATGTTTTAAAGACTTATTCAAATTTTATGACAATTTATAATAATTATAGAATGAAAACTTGGGAAGAGGTTTTTTTTTCTATATTAGTATATATCCAGGCATATATATTGGTTGAATGAATGAAGAAATTAAACATTTATATGTAGTTTACATCTGTTCTTTCTGTTCCTCCTTCATTATTAATTGGTGCACTAGAGTATTTGAGCAATATTTATTCACATTTTAAAAATTTTATGAAGTAGCTTTCTAGATGCTTATAGAAATCTCACTATTTTATTGAAATTGAAAACCATTGGGGCGCCTGGGTGGCTCAGTCATTAAGTGTCTGCCTTCGGCTCAGGTCATGATCCCAGGGTCCTGGGATTGAGCCCCACATTGGGCTCCCTGCTCAGTGGGAAGCCTGCTTCTCCCTCTCCCATTCCCCCTGCTTGTGTTCCCTCTCTCACTGTGTTTCTCTCTGTCAAATAAATAAATAAAATCTTAAAAAAAAAAATAAATTGAAAACCATTAAAGTATTTTCAGATCTTTAGGTGTGGTTCTCTCTTTCCCTCTTTAACATGTATTGAGGTATAATTGAATACAATAAAACTACACGTTTGAATTAGACAATTTGATTAGTTTCGGCATATGTATCTAGCTACAAAACCCTCACCAAAATCAAGATAGTGAATATCTATCGTGCTAATAAGTTTCCATATGCCTTTTGTAACCCGCCCCAGGCAACCACTGGTCTGCCTTCTGATACTATAAATTAGTTTGGAAATTTTACCCTTTTATGTAAAAGAATCATATGTACATTTTTCTGGTCTGATTTCTTTCACTCATTACAACTGTTTTGAGATTCAAACAGGTTGTTGTGTGTAGGAATACTTTGTTTCTTTTTATTTCTGAGTAACATTCCACTCTAAGATGTACCCCAAGATGTTCATCCATTCGTCTTTTAGGGTTAGGGTCAAAATTTTTTTTTTTCTAGATTAGGTTGCTATGAATATTTGTTTACAAGTTTCTGCATAGACATAGTCTTTCCTTTCCTTTGGGTCATGTGGTAGGTACATGATTTGTATTCTTAAAATTGCCAAACTACTTTCCAAAGTGGTTGTACATTGCCAAAACTTCATATGCTTAGGATTTGTTTTAGCCATTCAAATAGCTTTATAGTGGCCTCTCATTGTGGTTTTAATTTGCATTTTCTTAAATACTGATGTTGACTATCATTTCATGTGCTTAATTACAGTCTATATATCTTTGATGAAGTATCTGTTCTTTTGCCATTTCCAAATTGGGATGTTTATCAATTTATTATGGAGTTATAATGGGCCGATATATACACTAAATAAGGATCTGTTGTCAGATATAAATGTTGCAATATTTTCTCCTAGTTTGTGCCTTTCTTTCCATTTCCTTACTAGTATCTGCTGAAGAACTTTTTAAAAATTTTGAAGGAGTAGTCTAATTTATTGATTTATAATTTGAGCTTTTTGTGTCCTATTTAAGAAATCTTTGCAACACCCACAAGCCAACATTTTTTTTTCTTTTTTTATTTTTATGTTAATCACCATACATTACATCATTAGTTTTTGATGTAGTGTTCCATGATTCATTATTTGCGTATAACACCCGGTGCTCCATGCAGAACGTGCCCTCTTTAATACCCATCACCAGGCTAACCCATCCTCCCACCCCCCTCCTCTCTAGAACCCTCAGTTTGCTTCTCAGAGTCCATTGTCTTGCATGGTTCATCTCCCCCTCCAATTTCCCTCCCATTCATTCTTCCCCTCCTGCTATCTTCTTCTTTTTTTTTTTTTTTTAACATATAATGTATTATTTGTTTCAGAGGTACAGATCTATGATTCAACAGACTTGCACAATTCACAGCGCTCACCATAGCAGTTATCCTCCCCAATGTCTATCACCCAGCCACCCCATCCCTCCCACCCCCCACCACTTCAGCAACCCTCAGTTTGTTTCCTGAGATTAAGAATTCCTCATATCAGTGAG